TTTGACTCTTTATTCAACCCAGGGGTACTCTCTAACTTCTTTTTTTAGATGGACAAGGCTCTTTATTCAAGTATTGTTGTTCAAAGGAATATATAAATAAGCGGGAGGATCAGACATGGTTGTCCAGAATCAAAAGAAGTAGCTAAACGAGCTAATCTATGAGCCTCCTCGTCATCTTTTTTTCAGAAAATCTGTAACTTTATTCATAGTCATAATAATTACAGTTACAATATTTGGACCTAAGAACCAAGAAAATACAAAGTAACTCCTATGACTAAGAATTACAATAAAATCTTTTGAAAACACCTTCTTCGCGTTATCAATCTCTGCTCGAAGAAATACTTCAAAGACTTCGGTAAAGAGGCTGCAATTGGACTGGAGCAACGATGTTGTCACTCTTTCACCCGCACGAATATTACCAATAATAATTTTTGAAAGCGCCATGAGTATCCCATCCAAAAAGATGGGAAGCCTTGATCGATGAACGTACTTGGGCCATGGTCTATCTGAGTTGCCCCCTTCTACTTCGTTCTCGCCTTGTGGTTACAAGACCTTGTCCCTATATCTTGTGTACGGGCCAGGCCCAAATAGCGCTGCCTCGCTCCTTCCACTGCCGCTCTATTTTTTTCAGCTTGACTGAACTAACACTAGAAAAATTCAATAGATTTTTGTTTGAAAAAGTACTACAATTTTTCGGGAAAAAAAATCAGATTCTTAAATAAGGAATTAAAACTTATTTGCATACTTTAAAAAATGTTCATGGATTTTACAAATGTTCGCATATTTTAAAATATTCATAAATTTAAAAATCGCTCGCAATTTTCTTTAAAGAAGTCATGAACTTAAATGTGTTTCATGAATTTATAAACAAACACACAAGTTCAACAGATCTTTATGGATTTAAAATATGTTTGATTTTTATTAACCATGAATTAAAGAGATGCTTGCAAAGTTCCATGTTTGCCTAAGGAGCTGGTATACAAGCAGTGCTTTCTCATCAAACCGGGAAATGAACCGGCTTAGGGAAGCGATGCATCCGGCCAGGGGTTGAATTTACTTGAGCTTCTCGGGAGGCTTAAGCCTTGCCAGCGCCTTGATCTTGTCCGGATTTGCTTCGATCCCACGTTTGTAAACAATGAATCCGAGGATCTTCCTAGATGGTATGCTGAAAACACACTTCTATGGATTGAGTTTGATGTTGTATGCGCGGAGATTTTTGAACGTCTCGCTCAATTCATCGATGAGGGTGTCGGCATTTCGGGTCTTGATGACCAAGTCGTCGGCGTACGCTTCTGCGGTTGTCCCACCGGCGTAAAAGTCTGGACCATCCGATGATATGTGACCCCTGCACTGTTGAGCCCAAAGGGCATGGTGATGAAGCATAAAGGACTGTAAGGCATTATGAAGGAAGTTGGCTCTTGATCAGGCACTTCCTCATATTAATCTGGTGGTACCCGGAGTATGCGTCCAGAAAGCAGAGGAGGTCATGCCCGGCCGTTGCGTTGACTATCTGGAAGATGTATGGCAAAGGAAACGGGTCATTCGAGCACACCTTATTAACGTCGTTGAAATCAATGCACAGGCACAAGGATTCATCCTCTTTTGGCACCATAACTAGGTTTGACTACCAGTCCGGATGTTTGACTTCTTGGATGAAGCTGGTCTCAGTAGTTTGTCTAGCTGCTCTCCCATGGACTAACGATTGAGTTTCGAGAACCTGTCCAACGCCTATTTCACCGGTTTGGAGCCGGGAATAATATTCAGGTTGTGCTCCGCTAATTCCATTGGGATTCTTGACATATGAGATGGATGCCAGGCAAAAATGTCCTAATTCTCAAGAAGGAATTCGCGAAACATGCTTTCCAATTGGGGTCCAGGTGGAACTTGATGACGTAATTGCCGGATTTAAAGGATGTCGAATTTGAGTGCTTCGCGAGGACGACATCGTCTCTATCAACCATCGTCCTCATCTTGGAAAGCTCATCGGCCGCCAAGTCCTCGACTGCGAAGTTTGTGGTCTACTCCTCGGTCCTGAGAGACCGTTATGCATTACCGCAGATAGTGATGATGGCTTTAGGGCCCAACATCTTCAGCTTCATGTACGCGTAGTGCAACACGGTGTGAAACCGAGCAGATGCAGTCCAACCTAACAATGCATGATATCCACTCTGAAATGGGACTATGTCAAAGCTCAAGGCTTCAAGACGATAGTTGTCGGGAGTACCAAACACCATGTCGAGCGTGACCAAGATCCCTTTGGTGCCTCTCTACTCGTAGTTATAGTGTCTGACAACGATATTGAATTCCACATTGTGTTGCGGACCTATGTCTAACCAAGAAATAACATGATGGAACAATTCACATGCATGCCTATTACAAGTGGTAATTTGTTTTAACAAGCAAATCATTTTCTTATACATGCTGCATACCACACAAAGAAACAAAAGTAGATGCAATTCATTTGAGTTTGGCTAAATGACGACGATTCAAGATCGAGTGTTGCGTGGAACACCAATTGTTTGGTGAACCATAAGACATGGAAGATATAGAACGAATAAACAAGAACTGCAGTGGTTAAACGGCAAACAACTCATAAATAATTTTCATACTCTATGTTTTATACTATTAAGTATATGAATATGCATTCCTTTGTTTACTTGCACACAAAATTGAAATGCATGAATTCCAGAAACATCGTCAACTTTATACACCTCACCATGTTATTTAGCTCCCGTTTGGATTGAGTGTAGTATTTGTATCCACCTATGTCCATAAATAAACTAAGATAGCACGAATACCATCATATGTATGATATTCATCTAAGTGGCACAAATTAGTATTTGAAGAATTAGCCTACTGTTATTTGAAAAAATGGGTCTAGGAATTTTTTGGTTACTAGAAAAAAGACAATGTATCAAAAATAAATAACCATGTGACATTTATGTAAGTATATGCTTCAAATTTACGGAAATTATATTGTTTGTGTAACGGGTTCATGTAAGAAAGTGAAACGGAGTTGTACATATGCCTTTTCTCGTTGTATGAATAAACTCAAGATATTCAAATTCGCCACTACAAAATTTCGGATGCTAGTCGAAATGCTATTGTTTGTGTAACTTATCCTTGATCGGGTATAAAGATAGCATTTCAATGGGTCGGATCATGTTGTTCATTGGGACATGAGACCAACTATTACTGGGCCATTGAGTGGGCTCATATGCCTGAAGATGATGGTCCCTGGCTACCTCCATTTGTTCAACTCCACGCTCTCGACAAATCTGCGTGATGTCGGTTGGCTACCAACCAATCACCTAACTAAATCTAGCTTATTTTTTCGGTTGTGCAACTTAATTATCTCTGATAAATTAGTGCTCCGCTCTGCTCGACACTAAATCTAGTAGCTTATTTTTCAGACAAAGAGAGAATCCACATGTGCTCGCAAAAAAAAATGTTGTGGATCCGGTCTATCGGACGGCACCGTTGCTCCCCAGAAACAAACAAAACAAGCCAGTCAGCAACCACCACCGCCACCGGGGAAGGAGAGCGACGAGCACCCACATCATAACCACTATCCGCGCGATGGGTAAGCACAGTTAAAGATTAACCACATATGAGATGACGAGCTTCACGGGTGGATTAATTGAATAGTTGTTGTGGAGCTCAAGCGGCATCCACACAATGACACTGTGAATCTTCATGTCAACAAGATACTAGTAATCCTCAGAAAATAAACAGGTTTGGGCTCAAGAAAAAAATGCTACAGGTTTTTAACTAATTTCTAAAGTTTTGTGACTTCTAATTTTTTGAGGATTTAGAAATTATTCGCATATTTGAAAAAAATGTCATGGATTTTAACAAATGGTGACGAGTTCAAAAATATCCATGAATTTTGAAAGTGCTCCTAAAGTTAAAAAAGTTCATGTAGTTCAATTTATTTTATGATTTTCTAAAAAATCAAATAGTTCAATAGATCTTCATGGATTTAAAAAATGTTTATGATGTTCAAAAAGGTTCATGAATTGAAAAGATGTTTGCAAAGTTAAGAAAATATGAATTAAAAATGTTTCACTTTATTTAAAAAATCATCAGCACAAAAGATGTTCACGGATTTCATGAATTTAAGAAAAAATCATGAATTTTAAAAGTAATGCCTGTTGTGTATTTTTTTTATGTTGTCACTGAATTTTTTTAATTCTTTTGTGATTTTATAAAACAAAAATCTAACTTCTGAAAAAAATAAAAACTGAAAGAGGAAATAAAGTAGAAAGAAAGAACCAAAAGTGAAAGTGGTAAAAAAATCAGCTCCCTATAGAAAACCAAAATAAATCAATGAAACCCAGCCTTATTGGTACTGTACCATCAAAAAAAAGAAGGCTAAGGGTATCTGCAATGCACATTACCTAACGGACACCCCCAAATGTCCGCAGACATTCGGCCGGGCATCAGCCATCCAACCGTATATCTCTCAAACAAGGAGGACACCAAGAACTTTTATACTACTAGTACATAGAATTTTTTTTTACAATGCAAA